TTCAACCCATTGGTTCTGGTCTGACCTTCTGGGGCAACAGAAAACAACTCCTCACGATCCACGTCCTTCAGGTACCTGAAGATGGTTATCATATGACCTCTCGGTTGTCCCCTCTCTAGGCTAAACATACCCAGCTCCTTCAGCCGTTCCTCATAGGACTTGGGCCCTTTCTTCACTGACAGCTTGTGCTGGAGAATCCAAGGAATCAAGCCTTAAGGATTGACTTTGCAGTCGCACTCATTCCTTCTGCACTGTGTTTTCCCCCTACAATTTATTTATTTGTGCATTCTATATGCATTCTGCATCTACAAGCAAAATCCACATTTTTTGAGCTAACTGGCTGCTTTGTCTAAGATGAAGAGAAAGGAAAACTTTTTTTTAAGCGCAGACCCAACCCCACTCTTCCTCCATGATTCTGTAAAAAGAAAGGGAAGGGAGGGGGAAATCCAGGCCCACACATGCAAGACTGACACATTTGGGAGCAGGGAATCCCCTAGTCCTTTATATTTACTGATTCCTTCTTATGTTCTCTCTGACTTTTAAAAAGTTTGCCTGAATGGGAGGACATGTCCTCTTTTGTCTTTGGAGAAGGAGGGAAAGAAAACAGAACAGGGAGGTCAACCTAAAGAGAGAGAGGCAGAAATGGGAGGGCAGCGGGCAGCACTTAAATGCCCACAGAAACAATTCTGCTTTAGAAAGGATTAATGATTCAAAAGCAGATGAGAAGAAAGAATCGCAGCAAAAGGAGTTTTGGTCACTGTGAGGCAGCAGTGTGCTGGAAGCCGCCTGAATTCAGATTCCTGTAAAACAAATGAAGAAACAAGAAAAAGCCCTGATACAAAATAGAATTGAAAGCGGGAGGAAATCCAGAACAGAAGAATAGGATGTGTTCAGAAATTGAGGCAAAATATAGGTGCAGAAATGGCCTTGCTCTCCAGACCCCCCACCATCATCGTTGCCCTCCTCTGGATACGTTCCAGCTTGTCTATATCCTTCTTAAATTGTGGTGCCCAAAATAAAACACAATATTCTAGGTATGCAAACTGAGCTAAAATAAATAAAATTAATTTCAACACAGATAAATGTAAATTTCTGCATTTAGGTAAGAAAAATCAAATGCATAATTATAGGATGGGGGACTTGGCAGTAGTATGTGCAAAAAGGATCTAGGGATCTTAGTAGACCATACACTGAACATCAGGCGTGTGATGCAGTAGCTAAAAAGGCAAATGTGATTTTGAGCTGTATCGACAGACATATAGTGTCCAGATCATGCAAAGTGATGGTATCGCTTTACTTGGCTCTGGTTAGACCTCACCTAGAGTATTGTGTTCAGTTTAAGAAGTATATAGACAAGCTAGAACATGTCCAGAGGAGGCCAACAAAGATAGTGAGGGGTTGAAGGAGCTGGGTATGTTTAGCCTGGAGAGGAGACAGCTGGGAGGTGATATGATAACCATCTTCAAGTACTTGAAGGGCTGTCATCTAGAGGATGGCGTGGAGTTGTTTTCTGTTGCCCCAGAAGGTCGGACTAGAACCAATGGGCTGAAATTAAATCAGAAGAGTTTTCGGCTAAACATTAGGAAGAACTTCCTGACAGAGCAGTTCCTCAGTGGAACAGGCTTCCTCGGGAGGTGGTGGGCTCCCCTTCTTTGGAGGTTTTCCAACAGAGGCTAGATGGCCATCTGACAGCAATGCGGATTCTGTGAACTTAGGCAGATCATGAGAGGGAGGGCAGGAAGGGTTGCCTCAGTGCTTAGTTCTTGTGGTTCTTTCTTACACACCCAGGGAAATGCTGATTGCCACTTTGGGGTAAGGAAGCAATTTTTCTCCATGCCAATTTGGCCACGGATCCTGGAGGTTTTTTGTCATCTGGGCGTGGAGTAGCAGTCACTGGGGATTGGGGGGGGGGAGAGGTATTTTTGAATTTCCTGCATTGTGCAGGGGGTTGGACTAGATGACCCCGGAGATCCCTTCCAGCTCTATGATTCTATGTGGAAGTGGAATATGGAGGGGACAGTATGGCCTCCACTCCTACAGATCTGGCATCCATTAGCAGAGGTTGCTCAAGGTATTTTGCTGTCCTGAGTAGGTACCATACATTGCCCAGTGCTACACCTGTCCTTTCTTCCCACATCACCAGCTGCTGGGAGAAAGTTTACAGAGACACTGGTGTGCTGCTGTTGGGGCTTGTCCTCCCAGGTGCTGCCAGCGTGGGTCTGGGAGCCCGTGACGGGTATAAGAGAAAGCAGTCAGCACCCTCACTGGATGGTTCTACCCCAAGCAGCCACTTGGGTCACTGGAGCAATGAATCGGCCTTTCCCGCGAAGGAAGCATTTCCGTAATAATGTTTCTAGATAGTCTGGAGTCTGTCCATCTCCTTTTTTTAACCACTTCAGTGGTGCAGACAGGAGAGCCACTGCTCTGAGAGGAAGGTTCTCCAGGAAGCCTGGGACATTTTGCCCGGGAAGTGAGCCTCTCAGCCTCTCAAGTGCTTCTTCCTTAGGAACAGACTCTGTCAATGCTGATTTAAGGATTTTGCCACATGAGCGACTCAGTAATCTAGCCTTTCCTTCTGCTTCTTCACTATGTCCTTGCATGAAAAGTCTCAAGTTCCAGCTGGCAAGCTGGACCCCATACTGCAGATTTCAAACAATTGTGCCCCTTGGGATTTGGGTGAAAGTGATATGCTGAAAATGAAGAGGGAGGTCAGTGCAGTGCCATTTCTCCTCAATTAGTTTTTAGAGTGCTTGCTTTTGTAACGCACTGTGGCCAGGTTAAGCCTGCAGAATGTTTGTTTTAATATATTCCGGTGTGCCTCATTGTCATGTTTTATAGCAAAAATGCCTGCACCGTTGAAACCTCATTGGTTTGAGACATAGAAACTATTTTGGATTTTTCCTAAAAGGTCAATATTTCCTCCAAAGCAAAAGGAAAGGTTAGTTTTATGGATCGTGCTGTGCTGCACTGCTTGTAATACAATCTGTACTGACTGGAAAGTTTATTGCTGGTTATTTCCTTCCTTTGCAATAGGCATTTTGCCCAAAGGGACTCTATTTTGCTTTATAATTGATTAGTTTGAAATTTTGGCGTGTCTCTCTCACTTGGAATTGTTTTGGAACAAACTGACAGGGTAGTTAATGAAGAATGTTTTTGTCACTGCAACTATGCCTTTTTTATTGTATGCACTACCTAACAACTTTTGCAAATTAAATAGCCAACTACTGTGTGTTGCACGAGTCAGTGTAATTTTGGAATGCTGCATTGTAGTAGCTGTGTCCAGTATTCCCTCTAGGCTGAGTTAGTGTGAGCCAGCTCACAGGTTTTTAGCCTCCAGCTCACAGATTTTTGTCTTAGCTCAGGAAGGACGGCTCCAGAGCAAACTACTTTATGCAGTAGCCAAATTGCTCGCTCACAACTTTAATGCCAGTAGCTCACAAAGCAGAATTTTTACTCACAAGACGCCACAGCTTAGAGGGAGTATTGGTTGTGTCATAATCCAACTCATACAACCCAGTACAGCAAAACTCATAAATTGTGCAGGGCCAATAGCCCAGATGTTTTGTAAATGCATGTGGAATAGTTTATGGTGCTGCATAGACCAGCAGTGTCTGGATGTGATGCTAGTTGTTCTCCTCCAGAATTGTCAAAAAATACTGAAACATGATTTAAGTGAAAAAATGTATAATCCCAAATTGCATGTATAGCGCGTAGTGCTTTCAGAACAGGATCTACAATGCAGTCCTTGCAATCCTCTCATTGGGCTGAATAAAACAGTTCCCATATCATGCATTATTGAGACCTAGTTACATATATTCTTTCGGCATGGGTATTAGAACAATACTGCACAGTGCAGTAGCATGATAGAAGAATTGAATTATAGATGTGTTTCTTTCAAAATATATGGCAGTTAGAGCATGCATGCACTTGTCCCAGCTGGCATAACAGCATTGCTGGATTGCAGTTATTACTGCTGTAATTCACCTTAACCCTATTATCTCTGGAATTCCATTTAATCAGTTATCTTATGTCTCCAGTGTTAGCTGACAGGGGTTTTGGGGGAGTGGGAAGATATGTAATGATTCAGCCAAAGTTGAACACAAACCCATTTGTAACACAGTGTGACAAAGTTTAAAACACATGCCTAATGCTTCCATTTAAACCAGTGGCTTAGACGTTCCTAAATGTTGGCTGAATGGGGTACATAGAATTGGGTCCTGGCAAAAAGATCTACGTGCACAAGGGGTGGCAATTTTTGATGATTCTTCCCTCCTATAGCAGTCCTCCCATTCCCCTGTCCCCTAGAAACAGCATTTCGGGTTGTACCGTTGCAGCAAGAAGGAGAGTGGTGCTTCTATGCTCAGCAGCCCTTCAATGCACAGAAGTTTTAAACAGGAGCAACCTTCAGTTTTTTAGTATCTTACATTGGTTTTGCAATGATATAAGCAAAAGATAATCTTTCTGTTCTAATGGCTTTGTGATTATTGTATGGAAGCGTTTTCTCTGTCTTCATCCTGTCACTCTGCCTCCCTTAGGGATGCCAGCCTCTAGGTGGAACCTGGGGATTCCCCAGAATTACACGTCATGTCCAGATGACACCGATCAGTTTCCCTGGAGAAGATGGATGCTTTGCAGGGTGGAATCTATGGCATGGTACCCAACTGAGGTTCCTGTCCTCCCCAGACTATATCCCCAAATCTCTAGGAGTTTCCCAACCTGGACGTGGCAACCCTACTCTCCCATCCCCTGCTGGTGGCTAGAGGGGACCTGGCAACCCTAGCCTCCCTGCAGCAGAAGGAGTCTTCCTCTTGAGGTGGAGCCAATAGAGGAAGTTACCACAGCTGAGTGGAGTGACGGGACACAAGCCGTTAAATATTATTGTAATTAAAGGTGTTCAAATACTGAAGGATACAGTCAGACGAATTTTTCCCCCTTCTGCATGATTGTGCATTGGCCAGTTGCCTCAGTTTACATATTTCAAATGTTGTATTTCTTTACAGATGGAACCATGGCCTTGTCTGTTTCTATTTTTGGAAGTGTTTACTTCAACAGTCCTGAGCTACCCAAGTGGAAAAATTGATATGGCCTGTAATTCTATGTTACCCATGCATGGGACCTCTGCTCCACAGGCCTCTCCACCGCTATATGCCATCTCTGTCTCTAGCACGGCATTTAACCCTGGTGATGAGATCACAGGTAAACCCCTATATAGAGTCCTTTCCTTTTATCCAATAAATTCTCTGTGATACTTTGATCTTGAGCAGTGAATAGCTGTTGTTAATCATTTATCACCCAATAGACAAAAGGAGTAAGAAAATTTTATGACTGCTAAAATTCTTTTTGGATTCCTGTCAGCAAGTAGAAATGTAACTAGTTCATAGGAATATTAGTCAGAATGAGTTTGCAAACACAGTGAAATATAACACCTCTTCAGATTATTATACAAAGGACTCTAAAAAAAAAGGATATGTGCAATTATGTAACTAGTTCATAGGAATATATGCTAGAATGAATTTGCAAACACAGTGAAATATAACGCCTTTTGAGATTATTATGCAAATGACACTCCAGAAGGATATGTGCAGTTGTGTCAATCTTACCTAAGGGGCAGAGGCAGATTCATTCTGAATAAGGCAAACGTATGAACCTACCCCTCATAACTGCTAAGGAGTGAGCATTTAGTCCGGCCAGAATAAATGCACATAAAAGACTTTGGGAAGTGAACATATAGGTGTGGGAAGTCTACAGATAAATGTAGGAAGGATTTCAGTGGAGAAAAACCAAAAAATTGGGATGAACAGGTGTGGTATGCTCTAAAGCAGAGCTTTGGTGATCCATTAATTTTACACAGTCGCTCACCAAAGCAAATGCTGAATGACAGCCCAGGTACTGCGTCATGTCCAGGTTAACACCAAGAGCCAGAAGTTTCTCAAAGACAGTCTTAAATCATACTGACCAGTAAGAGTCTTCTTTCAAGGAATGCCAGATAGTCCTTGCTGTTCAAATATGACCTGATGAACAGTCTAAATGCTTGCAAATAAGCCCTTACCTCAAGGGAAGGTTGCCCCAGTTCTGAATGGAGACCCACACTGGCTGCACAGCGGAGATTGTTTAATAATTTCACAGAAAATGTAAAAGAAAATTGTCAGTGTTTTCATTTACCAAGACAATCCTTATGGCTACTCCATAAAGGATAATAGGAATGACTGTTAGGTTAAAGACTTGAACAGCACCTGGAACATAGTTCCCACCTCCATTTTGGGAAAAATTTAATATGCTGTCGACACAGGTTTTTGCTTTTTTCCTTATGACTGATGGTGGCCCCCATTTTAGACTAGATGAGAAACGGATACCTAGAAACGAAAATTCTTTCACTTGTTGGATTTCTTCACCATTCAGAATTCATCTGAACACTGAAGGGTTTGTTTTTTTGGAGAAAACAATTACTTTAGGTTTTTTGTAGTTTATTTTCAGGCCTTCCTTAATGCAATATTCAGAGGAAATTTTTTTTTATGATCTCTGAACTCTCATCCGAAAGAGCAAAGCAAGTATCATTAGTGTAAAGCAGAACTGGAATATTGCAATTGGCCAAATGGGGTGGATGACAAGGCTCATTAAATAAAGCTGAAAGATCATTTATATATAGGTTGAACAAAAATGGAGCCAAAAGGCGGCCCTGCCTAACCCCTTAACTGAGGTTAAATGGCTTAGTTGTTTGCCACCATAGCCCCAGCAGACCTGAGCTGTGAGGGCCGCATGAAGTTGTTGCATGAGCCATAGCAGCCTTTTATCAATTGCGGTGGGCACTCGGTGCAAGAACTTGTGGGCACTCAATTTGCTGAGCAGTCGGGTTAGAACAGATAAAAAGAAGTACTTCTTCAACCAAAGAGTGATTAACACATGGAATTCACTGCCACAGGAGGTGGCGGCGGCTACAAGCATGGACGGTTTCAAGAGGGAATTAGATAAACATATGGAGCAGAGGTCCATCAGTGGCTATTAGCCACAAGGTATAGATAGGAACTCTGGGGCAAGTGATGCTCTTTATTCTTGGTGCTTGAGGGCGGCAGCAGTGGGAGAGCTTCTAGTGTCCTGGCCCCACTGCTGGACCTCCTGATGGCACAAGGTATTTTTGGCCACTGTGTGACAGAGTGTTGGATTGTATGGGCCTGATCCAGCCTGATCCAGCATTGGCTTCTCTTATGTTCTTATGGTGTGTCGGAACTTTTTCCAGATTCTTGTTCTAGAGATAGTATCAAAAGCCCCTTTCAGATCAATAAATCCTACATAATGAGAATGCCATTTGGGAAATTAGTGTATTTTTCTATGAGATGATACAGAACTAGAGAATGGTCCAACATTGAATTGCCCCTCCTGAACCCTATCAGTTCCTGGCCCAGACTGTCACCCTTCTCAAGCCAATCAGTTATGGCAGGGGCGTCGAACTCATTTCTTATGAGGGCCAGATTTGACATAAATTGGACTTTGTCGGGCTGGGCCATGTGTGTCATAAAATGTAATGTCAGGGAGCAGAGGTATAAACTTTATAAAGGACACAGAAAACCACAATTAAAGATATTATAGCAGCTATTCCATTGGAGCCCCACATTAGGGGCTAATATTTCTCTACAAATCTGAAGTTCCTTGAGTTTGTTGAACTCTATATTTTAACTGTGGTTAGTCCCAAACCTTTCCCCCGCCTAAAATATAAACAACAAATTTAAATGGCCTGAGCCTAGGATCCAGGGGAGACCATGAAATGGCTGAGCATTGCAAACTTCTCTCTCCCCCCCCCCCCCCGTCTTTTTTAAGGGGGCGGGGGCTTTTCGGGGTTTAG